GGGATATTAACCCCTCGGGGGGCGGTGGGGGGGGATATTAACCCCTCGGGGGGCGGTGGGGGGCTCTCTGATCCCGGCCGGTTCCCGTCATACTGGAGGCAGCGGACAGGAAGCAGCCGGTGACGCGCTGCGAGGTGGGATGACGTCATGCCGGGCCCAGTCTCGGTTCCACTCACCCGGTACAGGGAGCCGCCGCCATGTCAGAGCAGAACGTGCCGGTCCCGCCCCTCCTCACTTCTCATTGGCCAACGAGACTGCTCTCTCACCAGCTATTGGTCAGCGGGACTGCCTGTCAAACCGCCAGGCCCCGCCCACTCTGGAACCTGGCCCCGCCGGGTGACGTAATGTAGAGTGCTAAACACACGAGCAAACCGCCGCTGCTCTTCCTCATGGAGAGTAACGGGAGCCAGTTGGTGTCTGTTTCTGTCTGAACTCGGGTAACTCTGAGAACTCCAGAACGAGGCGGCATCTGCGAGACTTTCCGCTCGCTACGGCAGTGCGTCCTCGGCGGCTTCTTGCTCCAGTGCTTAGATCTCTAAATGGCTCTTCCCCAGAGTGAGGGCGATAGAGCTCCAAACACCCGAGCCCGAGCGGGTCCCTGGGTAGGCGGCCATTTCTGTGGAGCCCAGAGCTGCTGTCTATACACTGACTGTGAGAGGGAAGGCAGCCCCGGGGTTTAGCACTCAGGGGACCGGCGTGACGTCACAGAACGACGTCATCAGTCAACTTCCTCTAATACAGAGTGAGAGCTCCCCCTCCTCTAATACAGAGTCAGAGCTCCCCCTGCTCTAATACAGAGTCAGAGCTCCCCCTCCTCTAATACAGAGTCAGAGCTCCCACTGCTCTAATACAGAGTCACAGCTCCCCCTGCTCTAATACAGAGTCACAGCTCCCCCTGCTCTAATACAGAGTCAGAGCTCCCCCTCCCCTAATACAGAGTGAGAGCTCCCCCTGCTCTAATGCAGAGTCAGAGCTCCCCCTGCTCTAATACAGAGTGAGAGCTCCCCCTGCTCTAATGCAGAGTCAGAGCTCCCCCTCCTCTAATACAGAGTCAGAGCTCCCCCCTCCTCTAATACAGAGTGAGAGCTCCCCCTGCTCTAATGCAGAGTCAGAGCTCCCCCTCCCCTAATACAGAGTGAGAGCTCCCCCTGCTCTAATGCAGAGTCAGAGCTCCCCCTGCTCTAATACAGAGTGAGAGCTCCCCCTGATCTAATGCAGAGTCAGAGCTCCCCCTCCTCTAATGCAGAGTCAGAGCTCCCCCTGCTCTAATGCAGAGTCAGAGCTCCCCCTGCTCTAATGCAGAGTCAGAGCTCCCCCTGCTCTAATGCAGAGTGAGAGCTCCCCCTCCTCTAATGCAGAGTCAGAGCTCCCCCTGCTCTAATGCAGAGTCAGAGCTCCCTCCAGAGCTCTCCCTCCTCTAATACAGAGTCAGAGCTCCCCCCAGAGCTCTCCCTCCTCTAATACAGAGTCAGAGCTCCCCCTCCTCTAATACAGAGTCAGAGCTACCTGTAGCGGAACCCCTTTTTGGCTGTCCTATGCCTTTTATTGATTGTTGGCCCTGCAGAGATTTTCCTGTGCCTGGAGTACATAAAACTCTAAGTAACTAGGTATAGACATACTTTGTTCGGTATGGGAATAACAGCTTACATATGAACAACTAAAATTCACCATACGAACAAAGTACCGAATGAACCGGACCACCCTGATGTGTATAATGGATATCATTTACCTCCCTGCTTGCGTTTCATTCCCTTGTACGCACGAACCCGCCGCCATTTCGGCAGCTGAACACGTGGCGGCCGCCATCTTAAATCCACGAACAGCGGTGTTTGGTCGTCGAGTGTCTGAAACTGAAAACGGACACTCGACTAGCCGAACACTGCTAAGACCTCCAGTGCTTCAGAAGGCACGGATGGAAACCCACGAACGGCCCGGCATTCGGTAGGATGAATCCCACGAAGTAGGGTATTCATCCAGTTACCGAATGCACTATGGATGCTATAGCAATTTGGGACTTTTGTGGGAACGAATGGAGACCGACTACAGGGCCAGATTTCATGGAACTATTTTCGGCTACTTTGCCCATGCAGTCAGTCAAAATTTTACTTTCCCATAACTCCCGAACCCCTGGTCTGATCTGGGTGATTTTTGGATATGTTTCTCACCCAGATCAGGGCTACCAGGGGATATCTGAAAAGTGGGGGAAAATGTGCTGTATATAATTGTATTAAAGGCTAATCTAAGGGGAGGAGATGTGTGGGAGGTAACGTCGCTGGCATTGGATAATGTACTAATTGTGGTGAATCCCTCCCTTGCATGGGAGAATCTCATAAAAGCAGGAATGTTGCCATTAAAAGTTAGTTCTACTCCTGATACTGTGTGTCGTCCAGTGATTGGGGAAAGTGATGGGATATTATTGGATTGTATTGCTGATTGTGCTGGATATTCTCATGGATTTATTACTTGTTCCTGCATCCTCTTAAAGTACTTGGTGGAGTTTAGCTGTGGGTAATCAGCTCTCCGCTACATTGGTTGGCAGTGTCGGGATCCAGACCCACAGAGGAGCAAGTACCAGGAAAAGACAACAGGATTGTTGGATCACAGATGGAGATCGATTGCACCACTTTAAAGCGATCCACTTTAAAGGACCTCCTGGAAGCAAGGGGTATTCCTGCCAGCAACAAGACCAAGGCAGTCCTGGTTGCAGAAGTCATGGTGGAATACAGAGCAGAAGCGGGTCCGGCTTTGGTGCAGAATAACCCAGCAGAGGAACAGGGGCGGTTGGAATTTCAAAGAGAACTGCAATTCTAGCTGTCATTCTATGGGGAAAACCCACCAACAGAGATCTCCAGAACCATGACGGAGGTACAGGAGTTTGTACTACGACAGAGGGTCCAACAAACTCCAGAGAGGAACCAGATTGTGCCCATGGTACAGGAGAACAAACCAAAGGTACCGTACCAGGCTTTTAAGACTTATGTGTAGGCAGAGGAAGAAATTGATGCCTTTTTAGAGGATTTTGAAAGGTTGTGCCACCTGCATAAAATAAATGTCGAGGATTGGGTTCCCATTTTAGCAGGGCGGCTAACGGGCAGAGCAGCAGAAGCATACCGCACAGTACCAGATGACGAATTAAGGGATTATAACGCGCCCAAACATAGTGCCCACCTATCTGTCCAGTACGACAGCTCCACCACAACAACTTCCACCACCGGCAGGCGCTCCAACCCAGTTCAGACAGCCTAACAACATTAAATGTCCCCAATGCCACCACTGGGGACACTATAAAAGAGAGTGTCCACAACTGCGAGATCGCGCCACATGGATCCGGCCCGATCCACCACCACCCAGAGCAGCAACCCATTGTTACCAGACAGAGGCTGCAATGACCTATGACGCTGGGGTTCCCAGCACCACAGTAGAACAGTGGGAAGTGCTCCATGAGGCGGATCCTCTACAGGCCCATGCAGACAATCGACAACACCATCGGCAGACCGTGTACCTAGAAGGAAAGGCAGTACAGGGGCTTTGCGATTCTGGAGCCACTATCACTTTGGTAAAGAGCCACCTAATTCCCACAGAAGCGAGGACCAGCAAGACGGTAGCCGTAAGGGTAGCCGAGGGAGCAGTATACCGACTACCCACTGCCCGAGTGCATTTGAAGTGGGGGGCGGGTCATGGGAACGTGGAAGTGGGGTTGATGCCACAACTCCCAGCGGAAGTTTTGTTGGGGAATGACTTGGGGAAACTGACATCGGCATATGAACCTCAGACCCCAGCGGTTGGAGAGGACCATCCCGTGGTCACACGCCAACAGGCCCGCACCCAAGACTACAACTTACACCCGGAGGTTCAGGTAAGAGATCCTTCCCCATCTGTAGAATGTATACCCTGGGCCCCACCTAGTGAATTTGAAGCCGAGGTAGCCACAGATCCTACGCTACAAGTGTATAGGGATAAGATAACCACAGGGGTGGCAGGGACAGACGGAGAGAGATTCATATGGGAGGGTAAGCTCTTATATAGAGAGACCGAGAAAAAGGTAGACGGAGCAGACCCAGTCATTATGCGGCAGTTAGTGGTACCACAGAGGTACCGATCCGAATTACTCTGGATAGCGCATGATATACCGCTATCTGGACACCTGGGAGTTAGTCGCACCCGATATCGATTGACCCAGAGTTTCTTCTGGCCAGGGATAAGTCAGGAGGCCCGGAGGTATTGCGGTACCTGCCAGAGGGTAGGAAAAAGGGGAGACAGCAGGAAAGCCAAGTTGCACCCCCTACCATAGTGGAGGAACCGTTTAGCCACATAGCGGTGGACATAGTAGGTCCCTTAACCCCTTAAGGACACATGACATGTGTGACATGTCATAATTCCCTTTTATTCCAGAAGTTTGGTCCTTAAGGGGTTAAGGAAGGCTAGCCCCTCGGGCAAGAAATACATATTCCTGGCTAATCATGGCAGCATCACTTATGGGTAGCTCCTCCCTTAGCAGTCACAGGACAGGAATTAATTAGATTAATTAATCAGACTGATAGGTATAAGGAGTCCCTCCTCCCCCTACACCTCAGTCTTTTTTCCTGTCCTTAGCAAGTTCTACAGGACTTTTTACATTTTATTTTATGGCCACCTTCCTGCGTTTGTCGTGGGTTCGTTCCAAATGAAGTTCAGCCTCTCTTCATTTGAAGGACCCAGTAAACAGCCTGCATGAGCAGGACTAACTGGGTCAGGTTCAGTGTAAGTACTGAACTGCAGCGTGGGAAGTAAGTGTTTGAGGGAGACACTAATTTTCTGTTTTATGTGGGGTTGGTCAGCCTTAAAAATTCCCCCTGTTTCAGCCTGCCCCTACTAATTGGGGTTATTTACCCCCCCCCCCCTACCTTGTTGGCAGTAGTGGAGTCCATCTTTAGGGGTCTTGTCCTTTGGGATCTTTTCATGCCTCCTTGTTGGTGACTTATTGCTGCCTGTGGAACTCCCTTACTGGAGCTGGTGTGATGGCTCACTAAGGAGATGGCAGTAATTACACTACTGGCTCTATTTGAACGCCTCTGTGGTGATGTTAGGGGCTATGCAGGCTTCCCTGCTCTCTGAAGCCCCCTCTGTGCCCGGGCATCGGGCGCTGGAACGCATTTGCGTTCCAGCCGACGGTCTGTCTCTTGCGACCGCTTCCGGCGAAACCGGAAGTGATTTGCCAGTCGCGAGCGTTTGGAACGCATAGCGTGCGTTCCAACGCTCTGCGCATGCGCGAACCGGGCGAACAGCTGTTCGCTGCCCGGTTCTATTTAAAGGGCTTGTTTCAGCTTCCTGGTCCCTGTGTCTGCTGTCCTTATGTTGGGTTTTTCCCTGGGAAGCATTGGTGTCCAGTTTGTGCCCTTCTTCTCCTGTCTGCTGCCTGGCTGCATTGTGGATGCTCTGCTCTTTAACCCCTTAAGGACGGAGCCAAATGTACACATTGTGAACAAAACAAAATGTAAACAAAACCTGGCATTTGCGCTACATGTCTGTCCAACCGTAATTCACCTCTTTCATATTAAATACACCCACCCTTATTATATATCATTTTATTCAGGGGAAACAGGGCTTTCATTTAATATCAAATATTTAGCTATGAAACATAATTTAATATGAAAAAAATGGGAGAAAATACGTTTTTTTTGGATTTTTTTAGTTCTACATGACATTTTAACGGTCAATGTCATAATACTGTTTGCTTTTACTGCAATAAAATACACATATTTATATTCAGTAAAGTCTCACGTGTAAGACAGTACCCCCTATGTACAGGTTTTATGGCGTTTTGGGAAGTTACAGGGTCAAATATAGCACGTTACATTTGAAATTGAAATTCGCCAGATTGGTTACGTTGCCTTTGAGACTGTATAGTAGCCCGGGAATGAAATTTACACCCATAATGGCATACCATTTGCAATAGTAGACAACCCAAGGTATTGCAAATGGGGTATGTCCAGTCTTTTTTAGTAGCCATTTGGTCACAAACACTGGCCAAAGTTAGCGTTAGTATTTGTTTGTGTGTGAAAAATGCAAAAAATGCCAATTTTGGCCAGTGTTTGTGACTAAGTGGCTACTAAAAAAGACTGGACATACCCTGTTTGCAATACCTTGGGTTGTCTACTATTGCAAATGGTATGCCATCATAGGGGTAATTTTCATTCTTGGACTACCATAGGGTCACGAAGGCAACGTAACCAATCTGGCGAATTTTAATGTGAAAAAAATGAAACACAAGCCTTATATTTGACGCTGTAACTTTTGAAAACACCATAAAACCTGTACATGAGGGGTACTGTTGTACTCGGGAGACTTCGCTGAACACAAATATTTGTGTTTCAAAACAGTAAAAAGTATCACAGCAATAATATTGTCCGTGTAATGCTGTTTGTGCGTGAAAAATGCAAAAATCGTCACTTTTACTGGCGATATCATCGTTGTAATACATTTTACTGTTTTGAAACACTAATATTTGTGTTCAGCGAAGTCTCCCGAGTAGAACAGTACCCCCATGTACAGGTTTTATGGTGTCTTGGAAAGTTATAGGGTTAAATATAGTGCTAGCAAATTAAATTCCCTTTACTTTCGGCATGGGTTGTCAGGCAGGTCCCGCTAATTGTAATTAATTAAGATACCTAATTATGTAAAAATATTACATAAATATATATGTAGAATTAATATATGTATATATATACGTATGTGTATATATATGTATAT